AATAAAAACAGAAAGATCCTCTAAAGGCCATTGACTTATTATTATTATTTAAAATTATTTATTAAAATAATAATTTTATTACAGTTCAAAATTTTAAAAATTGCTTAATATTAAAATTTATTAATATTAACAAAATAGTTTTAATTTTTGATAAATAAGAAAAAATTAATTTTTTTAAAATAACAAATTACTCATTATTATTTTATGTTTCGTTTTATAGTTTATAATAGTAATTATAGTTAATAGTAATTAGTTTATTTATAATTTATAATCGATATAAATCACTATTATTTAGTTTATATTATTATAGTTAATGATATAATAACAATCATAATAATGATATTACTAAATTTCTATTATTAAATAATTTTTAATTAAACAAACTATAAGTGAACTATAATTTTACAGTTTTATAACAAAAATAAAGGTATTATTTATAATTTAAATAATCACTATTGAAAAATTGATAATAATTATTATGCAGTTATATATTATTATAGAAAATTAAATAAATATAATCTATTTTGATTGCACCGTACGATTTGTATGGTTGAGCCCACATATGTATGATTAGTATAATATTAGAGCAATTGTTGTTTAATGTTGTTAACCACTAATAAAATAGTTTATTAAATAAAATACTTAAAATTAAATTTTTGTTATTACATGGTGTATTATTAATTAAACAAATATAAATTAATTACATTATATATTATTGACCTTATTAACATAACATAACATTAAAAAAATAATATTTTATATATTATTACAATAACTTATCGATAATTTTAGTTACATTAAATAATAATTAATTTATAATTATATAACTTATACTAATAAATAATATTAGATTAATATTAATTAGTTATTTTATATAATAAATTTATATTTTTCATAAATAAACATTTATAGTAAATTAAGCTATATTATTTTTTTTAATAAAAAACTGTACACAAGATTTTAATTATATTATTAAAAAATATAATTTAACTATTTGATTAAATACAGATTGTAGTTTGTATTACTTGCTTTGAAATATATTTTACTTTAAGTTAATTATAATAAAATTTATATTTTATAATAGATTTTAATCATAATTTTAAAAAAACAAGTTTAAAATATATTTAGTTGTGAACATTTTTTTAAATTTCTATTTTTTAAAAAAAAGTTAATTTAATTTTCTTTGCAATATTACACTAATTGTTGATAGTAAATATCTATAATAAATTTATTAAGTTTATTTTTATTAATTAATTGTCATAAAATCACTGCAGTATTAAATATTTAATACTATACACATATAATTATAACTTTAGACATTTATAATAGTTTTCAATTAAAAATTATTTTAACCAAATAAAAGTGTAAATTTCAAAACATACAAAAATAAAATTTCAAAAAAACTTATTTAAATATATAATTCATAAAACATTTAACATAAAATATTTTAGTAATAATTTATTTAATAAATAAAAACTGTAACTAATTTTATTAATGTTTCTAATTATATAAATTTAATTAAATAAAAAATAACTTTAGTTAATGAGGACAAACTCCACTATTATGTATATATATATATATATATTAAAATTATTAACATATATTTATTAAATTAATTGTAAATACACACAGACATACTCACATAATATTTAAAACAAACTATAATAATAAACAATTAATGGTTTAAATTTTATTTTTTTATTTATACTAATAAAATTAAAAACATTATAAAAAATAAATTATTGTTAAAACATTAAAACTGTAATTATTTTTTTCTTTTAAAATGCTTATATGTAAACTTATAAATACTTATAAGTAAATTAAGCTATATTTATTTTTTTAAAAATGTATACAATATTTTAGTTATATTATTAATAAAATATTTTAACTTTATATAATAAAATAGTTTGTATAACTTGGATTGAAATATTAATTATATTAAAGTTAAATTATATTAAAAAATTATATTAAAGTTATAAAATTTATATACTATAATAGATTTTATTTATATAGTTAATAAAAATTATAATTAATATTTTTATTATACATTTTTCTTTTAATTTTCAATAAAATTTTAGAAAAAACAAGTTTAAAATATATTTAGTTGATAACATTTTTTAAATTACAATTTATTAAAAAAAAATTAATTTAACTATCGTTGCAATGTTACAATTTTAGTAATAATTTTTTTCTAGTAGAAAAACTGTAACAAATTTTATAAATTCGTTTAATTGATTAAATTTAATTAAAAAAAACAATTATTTTAGTAATCGAAAGCTCAAAAAATCCATTAAAAATTATTTATATTTTAAACTTATTAACATTTGTTTATTAAATTAATTGAAATTATATTTATATACACGCTCACACTCACATAATTTTTCAAACAAACTATAATAATAAACAATTAATCGATTAAATTAATTTATTATTTTTACCAATAACATTGATAAATTAATAAAAATGATTGATTAAAAAAAATTATCTCAGTATATTAATAGTAATTTTATTTTTAGTAACATAATAAAATACTAGTGATAATAATAAAAATAGGACCTATAAATTAAATAATTCATTTTAATTTTATAAATAATTTGATAAATAATATTTATTTACAGTTTTATAATAATAATAGTTTTTTTAAAGTTATTCATTAAATTAATCTATTTAATTATCTTATATAAAAATTAAAACTGTAATAAAAATCTATTATATAAATAATAAAATAAAACTATAAATTTAGATTTTTTAAAAAATTGTATAAAGTATATAAGCAAGCAAATAGCAAGTATAATACTTTTATTTTTAGATACTTTATTAATAAGATTTTTTAAAAATAAAAATGTAAAAAATATTTAACTTTTAATATTCATTATTGCACATAACAAAATAATTTATTTTTAAATTAGATAATTATTATTATCAAAAAAATATGATTACATTTAGTTAATTAATTATAATTATGAAAATTTATATACAATTTTAATTTATAATATATAAAAAATAACAACTATAACAATTATTTTATTTACTATTTTCATTTAATATAAATAATTAAATTTATAAGTTATCAGTAAATAATTAAACAAATAAAATTATTTTATCATTATTTTAAATTTGGCATAATAAAAAAATAATCTTATTGAAAATCTGTAATAAATTTTTATTTTAAAAATATATTTTATATGTAAATTTGAATTCAAATAATAAATGACTTTCAAATATAGACAAAATAAATTTTTTGATTTATATGCATAACATTTATTTATACAAAAACTTAATTAAAATAATATACAGTAAAACAAACAAAATCAAAATGTAAGCTTAAATTATCTCACTAATCAATTTATCATAAATATATTTACTAATTAGATTAAAATTACTTTAATAAAAATTACATAAGTTACTTTGAATTGTTTTTGTTTTGTTGTTGTTAATATAATATAAGTTAGATTATTATTATTTTTTAAAAAATTATATTAAAACTGTAATAATATTTAATTTAAATATTTTGATTTATAATTATATCAAACTATAAGGTATTTAGCTAAGGAAGTGAACCAGTAGTAAATTAATTATAATTATTGATTTTAACTTTTATATAGATTGTAACAAATATTAATTTAAAAAAATTATTAAATCTATTTTATTTAGAAATTTTATTAAAAAAATTTGCTTTATATATATAATTTTATCTATTTCAATTTTTGAAAATAAAAATGATGAAATTTGATTTTTATTAAATTAAAATATTTAACACAATTATTATTAATAAATTTTGTATTATTATTATTATTATTATTTATAAATGAAACAGATCAAAATTATATTAAGCAAAAATTTTTAATAAAATTTCTAAATAAAATAGATTTAATAATAATAATAATATTTAAATTATTTACTTATTTATCAAATCTATGTATAAAAAAAATCAATATACTTTATAATTCCTAATAAAGATATAAATAATAAAAAAATCAAATTGCATTATTTTTATGTTTAATTTGTAATATGATATTATTATTATTATTATTATTATTATAAATATAATAAATGATTAGTTATAATTTAAACTATCATAACTCTAAAGGTATTTAGAGATAATTATTAATATTTAATAATAAGATATAATTAATTGAAAATACAATGCATTTCATTATTATACTAACAAATAAAATGTATTTATGATAATAAATTATCTAATTTTATGAGTAATTAGTCAAGTATTTTGAATAATACTTTATAGATATAGTTAGACAACAACAAAAAGTATTTAAATGTAGATTTTAAATAAGAAAATATTGATATAAAGATTGAAAAAAAATATTTAAAACAATAAATATTAAAAATTAATTATTTATTTATTTTTAAATATTAATAAATTAATTAAATCTAATATGGTATGTTTATGTTGATTGAATTATTTTTAATCTATACAAAATTATTATTATGTAAAAAATATTTAATTTAATAATATTAATATTTGTATTAAATTGTATTTTAAGGGTAATAATAATAATGATAATGAGACACCAATATCTAGTAAAAGGATAGGACGGGATGGGACGGGACATCACGCCTATGCAAGTCTAAGGATTCCCAAAAAAAGTAAAAAAAAACTTAATTATTTTTGATATAACAAACAAAAAATTTGATTAATTAATTAATTATTATAATTAATTCATATATATATATATATATTATTTGTATTTTTTAATTATCTCTAAATTTTTGTTTATTAATATTTTTTTATAATATATTATAATAAATCATTATTTAATTATTACATAATTAGTTATCATATGTTGTCTATGCTATTATGATAAAAAATATTTTTTTTTCATTGCACCTATACATTGCACTTATAACTGTTTGTTTAAAATAAGTTATAATAATATTAGTTAGTTATAATAAAATATATTACGAAATTTATTGTATATTTATTAATTTTTAAATTTTGTTTTTATATTAATAAAAAAAATTTTATTTTATAGATAATATACCGAAAATATTATATTATTATACTAGTACACAATCGGCTCAACAAATCATTGAATCGGGTTTCATAAGACCCAGTCGTCCAAATCAACCGTATGGACAGGGAGTCTATATGACACCAATGAAACCGGGTTTGAATAGTGCCGATGAAATTATCAAAAACAATCAAAATGTACCCGGTTATGTTAGAAATAATTGTGCCGATTTTTATATTAAAATCTATACTAGTACATTGGTATCAGCTAAACTAAAATTTATCAGCAACAATTTATATTGTTACACTGATCAAGTTATAATAACTAATTCAAATAAATTATTGCTGCTACATGATGATGATGTTACTTCAAATAATGTTCAGGTACGTTTTTTTAAAAAGTTTTACTAAATTTATAAATACACTACTTTTACTAAATAACTAAAATAATATTGATATTTTTAAAATTAAAGTATTTAAAAAAATTACAAAAAATTAAAGATTACAATTATTTTTTTTAAATGCAAATAAAATAGTAATATAAATAATTCAATATTATTATTAATAAAAATTTTTTACTGGTTATATACATTAGCTAACATTAGACAATTTTATTTTTTAAAAAATATTATTATTAAGCTAACTATTTGAAAATAAATATAATTATTATATATATATTTTTATGGATTTTTATTGTTAAGATTCAATCATCGGATTGTCAGATAAATGGGGACAGTAGTCATGTCGATGATGATGATGATGGTGTAGTTGGTTGTCATAGTCAACAATCCCAACAACACCAACACCAAGTGCTCTACTATTATACAAATCATGAATCGGCTCAACGATACAAAACCTGTGGTTCAATCAAATTGAATTTAATTCGTATAGTATTCAACCGTCACCTTAAGCTAACAACATTGGATCCGGATAGATATTCAAAATCAGATATATTAGCTAGATACTATCAAGGACAGTCAACTGTACCTGTACAATATCGTGATAAAGCTGATTGGTGTATTAGGATTATGGTGGATAAATTGGACCTGACCAAATTGATATCAATGGCTAATAATATGTTTACTTATAGCGATAGTATACCAATCAATCAAATTGATGTATTCAAAAAACCTAAATTAAATTGGTTTGTTTATATAGTTTACTATAATTAGTACTAATACTAGATTATTATTATAATAATTAATTAATTAAATATATAGAATAATTAATTGATACTAACTGATTTAATAATATTTTTATAACAATTTTAATTAATAGTACTAATAATTATTATACTATTTATAATAATAATAATTATAATATTTATTATAATAATAATAATACTACATTTTATTATAATAATAGTAATATAGTATTTATTATTGTAATAATAATAATACTATTTATTATTATTATTATAAAAAAAATTAATTAATTTAATATATAAAATAATTAATTGATACTAACTAATTTAATAATATTTTTATATATGTGCAATTATAATTTTTTTTAAATCAAAGAAAATTATTACAGTTTTAATTGTTTATATAATTTTATTTTTTATTATTATTATTAGGATTGCTACAAAACTAAATAGTCCAGCAACTATTTCATCATACAGTAGCATGGTAAATTTTTAAAAAATCAAAATAATAATCTATAAAAAATAATACTTAAATATGATACAAATAATTTGTAAAAAAAATAATTTTTTTTATTTTAAAAAATAGCTCAATGTTCCCGATAGACTGTATCACTATGTTGGCAATGATGGTGTCGACACCATTAGGAAAGTTAGCAAAATTCAACCCAATTTCCTCGATCATGGTATCAATGGTTTATTACTATCGTCAATGTCACCGGGTGAATTTACACGCCTAGAAATCAAACTAGATATCTACGATAATCATTGTCCCATTGATATTGTCGATTGGGTAATACCTATTAGGACAGTTACATTGGATCGTATTAAATTGCACCTGGTCAATCGTATAGCTAGTACAAACAAATATGACCTATTTTACTATGACCTGGATATAGTTATAGATACAAATGATATATTAGATAAGCTACAGTGTTTGGATGAACAGGTAGATAATAACAATAATGACCCTGCTAATAGCCTATACCCTTGATTGTCTAAAAATATTGTAGTTTAGTTTTAGTATACAATTAGTAAATTATGTCATAAAAACACTTTTTATATTTTTTAGAAATTAAAATAAAATTTATTTAAAAATACGTACAAAATATCTATATAATCTTTATAATTTTTATCATTACTTATAATTTATATACAAACAATGTTTATTGTATTTTTAGATCATAAAATTATTTTTTTTAAATAATTGAATTAAATATTCTTTATAAATCAAGCTAAAATTTTTTTTATATAATAATAATTTGAAAAAATAATTATAACTAAAATTAAATATAATAAAACTTTAAATTATTATTTTTAATTAATAAATTATTTATTATAACTAATTATTGATTTTTAAAACAATTAAAAATTATTAGTTATGATATTAAACAGTTTATTATTAAATTTTCTAAAAATATAGATATAAATAAAATTATATTATTTATGTAAAATAATTAAAATCCAGTACTTTATGTTGACTAACTTATATATATATATATATATAAATAGATATATTTAATACATTATAATATTATAATATAATATATTTTACAGTTTTTTTTGATTGTTAAATATGTCAGATTCAAAGTTTACAATTTAATTCAAAAAATTAATTTATATTTTAAAATCATTCAAAATGTAAAAAAAGTTACCAATGTCATAATTATAAATTAATACACTAATTTTATAAAAATTAAATTATATAAAAAATTGTTAAGATTAACAATATCTATAATAATTAAATATAATTAAAGTATTTATTATATATATATATCAGAAATTAAGGACAATATATATTATTTTTACATTTGTATTAAATATAACTTTTAAAAAAAAATTTTAAAAAATGGATAAATAATTAGAATATTTTTGTCCAAATAATAGTATGACTTCTACGGTTGCCAGTACTGGTACAGATCAATGCCGGACATCAATAAAATATCAATTGAAACAAAATTTAATATTATCTTTAAAATTATGATCTAATTTTGTTAAAGAATAATTCAATTATTTAAATTAAAAACTTTTTTTTAAAAAAAAGTTTGTATTTGCAAATATATTAGCAAATCATACATTAGAATAATATGTTTATATATAACTAAATTTTTAAAAATTATTTTATTATTTTTACTAATAATTGTGTTTATATTTTAAAAGCACAAAAAAAACTAAAACTAACAATAATATTATTTTAATTTAATTAAATTGTTCTTTTAAATATAAATTGTTATAATTATATTATTTATAAAAAAAATTTAATGTGATTTCCTTTGAATAAAAATTAATTTTATAAAAACATTAATATAATCATGTTAAATAATATTTATATAAATATTAAATTTTATTTATTAATATTATATAAAATCTAACAGTTTGATTTAGAATATAATTTTTTAGATTTTTAAATTTAAGTATAATGATTTTTTTTAAAACTGTAAATATTTTTCTATAATAAAATATATATTTATTACAACAAGTAAAAACAATAAGTTTAGGATGACGACACAATTCTCATATAATATGAAAATTTTTATAAAACTTTTTATTTTATTTTTTTTATTATAACTTAAAAATAAATAAATTAGTTCAAGTAAATTTAAATAAACAACAAAATAATCAAATCATAAATATTACTTACAATGTTGTTGTTGTCAAAATGATAAAATCTTAATTAAATAAAATAAAAAATAATTGTTTTCTATTATTATTTACTTGTTTATTTAAACAAAAAGTTCAATGTTCCCTATAAACTTTATCAATATGTTTGCAATGATGGTGTCGACACCATTAGGAAAGTTAGCAAAATTCAACCCAATTTCCTCGATCATGGTATCAATGGTTTATTACTATCGTCAATGTCACCGGGTGAATTTTTCACGCCTAGAAATCAAACTAGATATCTACGATAATCATTGTCCCATTGATACTGTCGATTGGGTAATACCTATTAGGACAGTTACATTGGATCCTAGCAAATTGCACCTGGTCAATCGTATAGCAAATATAACAAACAAATTTTACTATGACCTGGATATAGTAATAGATCCAAATGATATATTAGATAAGCTAGAGTGCAAACGTGAACAGGTAGCTGATAAATTAAATAACCCTGCTAACAGCCTATACCATAGATTGTCTAAAAATATTGTAGTTTAGTTTTATATACAATTATGTCATAAAAACATTTTTAAAAATTTTTTTAGAAATTAAAATCTAATTTTGTTCAAAATATACAAAATATCTAAATAATCTTTTTATTTATTTCATAACTTATTTTATAAATTTAATATAAACATCAATGTTTATTTTTTAGACCATAAAATTATTTTTAAAAAAATTAATTAAAATATATATTCTTTAGAAACCAAACTAAAAAATATTTTTATTAAATAATAATTTCTAAAATAATTAGAACTATAATAAAATAATATATATATATATCTAAAAATATTAGTTTTAATCAATAAAAAATTTATTTAATTTTTTAACTAAATATTGATTTTTAAAACAAATATAAATTAATTTAATATTTATAAAGTTTTTTACAGTTAGAACTTTTGTTGTTGTTGTTTTTATAATTGATGTAATTATACTTAATATAATTTATTTAGAAATTAATTAGATGTTAAAATAACGACAATTTATTTATTGTGTAAAAATAATATATTAAAACTGTAAATATTTTTCTATTGTAAAATTTGTATTTATCATAACAGTTAAAAACAATAAAACTAGATTACCGAAATGATACAAACATAATAAGAAAATTTTAATAAAACAATTTTTACTGTTTTTTATCATAACTTAAAAATAAATAAATTACTTTTCAATTTTATTTTTACTATTAATTGTATATATATTTTAAAAGCACAAAAAAACTAAAAATAACAATCTTATTTAGTTAGATAATCTTATTTTATTTTAATTTAATTGTTTTTTTAAAAATAAAAATTACTATAGTAATATTATGTATAAAAAAAATTCTCGCGAGCAATTCTATCAATAAAAATTTGTGTTTCAAAGACAATAATAAAAACATGTAAAATAATATAAAATTTACAGTTTGTTTTAAAATATAACTTTTACATTATTAATTTTAAGTATAATGATTTTTTTTTGTTAAAATACTTTATTAATAAGAATTTATAATTTAATTTAATAAGTTATGATTTTATAAGTTAATTAAATAAATATAAAAATTAAATGTTTTTTATTAGTTTTTTTTAATTAATTTTAATGATTAATATTTTTTTTATTTAATTTATCTAAAAGGTAACATTAAAAATAAATAATATTTACAAAATATCTACTAAAAATTGGTTTTTATTTTTTTAATTATTTAAAATTAAATTTAAAAAAAAATCTTTTATTAAAATTATTATTATAATTATATTTAGAATAATAAAAATAATAATTTTATTAAAAAGACTGTAATAATTTTTATTTAAACTTTTTTTTATTTTATCTAAACTTCTTTTATTATATCTAAACTTTAATTTTAAAATAATAATTTAGATGCTGGTGTGGTCAATGTATTTTTTTTTATTATTTATATGCATAACATTAATTTATGCTAAATTTAATTATATAAAATATTATTATTTTAATAAAAAATTCTAGAAATGAATATATGCTTATTATTAGAATCATTAAAATAAAGATTGACAACAATTATATTTAATTTAAAATTTATATATCCAAGGTTACATTTTAGTTATTTTAATATAAATTAAAATATAGTTTTCTATTATTTTTATATAAAATGTTGCCCATAGACTGTATCAATGATGGTGTCGACACTATAAGGAAAGTTAGTAAAATACACGGTTTCCTTGAGCATGGTATCAACTACATATTATTATAGTTATTTAACAATGCAAAGTTTATCTTATTAATATAAGATTACATATAATACTAATAATATAAATAATTAAAAAAAATTATTAGTTAATTTTAAAAAAATAAATCCTATTTATTTATTGTTAACAAATAATATATCAAAACTGTAAATATTTTTTTAATTGTAAAATTTATATATTTCATAAAATTAGAAACCATAAAATATAAGATTAACTTATACTGTACTGACTGATTTAAAGTTTTTTAAAAAATAATATTTTGTTATTTGTCTAATAATTATTACAATTTTTGAATTTTAATTGGATAATTATTATAGAAAAAGTTTTTATTAAAACATTATCATTATCCTATTAATATTTAATTATTATAAACTTATTTATTTGTATTAGATTTTATTACCAAATTTTTAATGACAACTGTAATATAAAATATATATTTAATTTTTTGGTTAAAGTGTTGCGTTTATATTAGTAATTTAGATGTTCTATTATCAACAAATTTAAATTAAAAAAATTTTTCAATAAAGCAACCATATTTATTTGCTTATATTTTCAATATTATTAAACTATATGATAGTTATGATTATTTTTTAAATTATACAATTGATTAATATATAATATAAATTAAATATATTATTATTTTAATCTAGTAAATTATATATTGTTAACAGTTGCGATTTTACTACAGATTAATTAGTTTATATTTGACATAATAAAAAATATTTTTAGTGAAAAACTGTAATAATTTTAATTTAAAAAATTTTATTATATTTAAACATTTGTTAAAATAATAAATTAGTATAAGATATTGTCACAGTAGTTTTTTTTATTTATATGTATATATAACATTAATTTATTCTAAATTTAATTAAAATAAAATACATTACAAAAAAAATCAATTTATTAAATATATACTTAATAATTAGATAATACATAATTTATATATAAACAGGTTTTAGTCAAATTAGTTTATATATACTGGATATTATTTTATTATTTATTAAAAATACTATTGTATTTACAGATGAGCTACAGATTTTTGTTTGTTTTGTTGTTAATTAATTTTTTATTTATAACATTATTTTAGTTAATTAAATTAATAATTTTTAAAAATAAAAAAAATTATTCAAAATTTATTATATAATTTTAATTAATTAACATTGTTTTAAGTTTATTAATTTACAGTTTATGATATAATAGATAATTAAATAATTTAAATACTATTAAATAATTATTGATTAATCTTTTATTAATTAACATTGTTTTAAGTTTATTAATTTACAGTTTATGATCATAATTTTAATAGATTATGATTTTAAATTTTAATTATTTCTATTTTGTCTAAAAATAAAAACTATAATTTAATAATTAAAACTTATATATATTTATATTTATGTTTAGAATATAAAATTTATATTACCGTTTGAATTGATTCCTATTAATTGATTGTTTATTTGCTTATATTATTATTATTAATTAATTTATTAATTTATATTAATAATTTTATGTATAATATATATACTATTAATTTTTTTACTATTAAAACTGTAACTTTTTCTAGTAAATATTGTCTATTAATTAATATACAATATTTAATTTGATAACTACAGGTGCCCATAATGTAGAAATGTATTTAATTTATTGGATTTAATTTTTATATAAATATATGTTTAATTAAAAATTATTATATTCTTAATGTGTATGACATTAATTTTTTTAACAAAAATTACTTTTATTTTAAAAATAATTATATTTTCACATATTATTACTTAATTAAAATAAAATATAACTAACTGAAAAAAATCAATTTATTAAGTCTCTCAGCAATTAATATAAATAATTTGATGTAAATTGATTTATTTGATAAAAAATATTAAAACTTATTTTAAAAATATTTTAATATATATATATACTTACCATTTAGATGTCAAAACTATAAATATTTTAATATTATTAACTATACTAAATTTAACTAAACTATTATTTACAGTTTTTTTAAATAAATAATATTTATAGTAATAGTTAGTTAATATTTTTTTTTTATTTTTAAAAATTAAGTGGACATTGGCCATCGTATATATTTTGTTTGATTTCATTATAAGTAAATTCAACCGAATAAGAAAAATTAATTACAAAATATTTATTCTATTATTAGATAGAAATAATTATTTTATTTTAATTAAAAATAACTAATTATAATATTTTATTCATACTAAACTAGTTTTTAATTAAATATTATTTAAATATAATTATATATTAATTATACATATATTAAATATTATTTATTTATTTTTTTTAAATTAAAGAAATGATTAAATACTTATGATTAGAATTATTAACAAGAATATATTGACAACAATTATATTTAATTAAAAAAAAAATTTATTTTATTATCATAAAACTCTAAATCATGTATTATTAATAATATAAATAAATGTAAACATATATTAATTTTATAAAGTTAGGTATCCATAGTTATATTAATATATTTTAATAAAAAAATATTTTTAATATACTATTAAATAATTCTATATTAATATTAATAACATTTGATTAATTTAATATACTAGCACATATTATTTACTTGTTTATTTTTTAAAAATATCTATTACTAATTTTGGTATTTAAAGTTTTTAATATAAATATATTAATTATTGTTATTTTTCTAGACTATAGAATTATTACTTAATTAAAATAAAAATTTAAATGTTTATAAATATTTAAATTTAAAAGCTATTTATTTATTGAAACAAATACTTTACTAAAACTGTAATATTTTTGTATTATAAAATTTATAATTATCATAAAATTTAAAAACTAAAAAGTTAGTAAAAGACACTAAAGTAATATGAATTTCTTAATAAAATTTTTTATTTTAATATTTTTTTATTATAACTTAAAAATAAATAAATTAGTTCAAGTAAATTTAAATAAGCAACAAAATAATCAAATCATAAATATTACTTACAATGTTGTTGTTGTCAAAATGATAAAATCTTAATTAAATAAAATAAAAAATAATTGTTTTCTATTATTATTTACTTGTTTATTTAAACAAAAAGTTCAATGTTCCCTATAAACTTTATCAATATGTTGGCAATGATGGTGTCGACACCATTAGGAAAGTTAGCAAAATACAACCAGATTTCCTGGATCATGGTATTAATGGTCTATTACTGTCGTAAATGTCACCGGGTGAATTTTTCACGCCTAGAAATCAAACTAGATATCTACCATAATCATTGTCCCATTGATACTGTCGATTGGGTAATACCTATTAGGACAGTTACATTGGATCCTAGCAAATTGCACCTGGTCAATCGTATAGCAAATATAACAAACAAATATGATTTATTTTACTATGACCTAGATATAGTGATAGATCCAAATGATATATTAGATAAGCTAGAGTGCAAACGTGAACAGGTAGCTGTTAAAATAAATGACCTTGCTAATAGCCTATAGTATAAAATATTGTAGTTTAGTTTTATATACAATTTTGCCATAAAAACATTTTTTTAGAAATTAAAATCTAATTTTGTTGAAAATATACAAAATATCTAAATAATCTTTTTATTTATTTCATAACTTATTTTATAAATTTAATATAAACATCAATGTTTATTTTTTAGACCATAAAATTATTTTAAAAAAAAATTAATTTAAATAAATATTCTTTAGAAACCAAACTAAAAAATATTTTTATTAAATAATAATTTCTAAAATAATAAGAACTATAATAAAATAATATTAGTTTTAATCAATAAAAAATTTGTTTAATTTTTTAACTAAATATTGATTTTTAAAACAAATATAAATTAATTTAATATTTATAAAGTTTTTTACAGTTAGAACTTTTGTTGTTGTTGTTTTTATAATTGATGTAATTATACTTAATATAAATTATTTAGAAATTAATTATAAGTAAAAATAAACACTATTTATTTATTGGAAAAAAATAATATATTAAAACTGTAAATACTTTTCTATTGTAAAATTTGTATTAATCATAACAATTAAAAACAATAAAATTATGTTAAAGAAATAATATGATTTTTAATATAAAACTTTAATATTTTACAATATATATCACTTAATAGATTTTAAATAGATTTTATAGAAATTTTAAGATCATATAATAATTTAATTTTTTTAATTTGCAAATGTCTTAATAAATCATACATTAGATAAATATATTTTATAATTTATAAAATTTGTAAAAACTTTATTATTTTATTTTTACTGTTAATTGTATTTATAATTTAAAGACACAAAAAACTAACATCACTTTAACATTATTTGAAACCTAATTTATTTACCTTGATTTTTTTGTTTATATTTATTTAATTATATTCATATTAATTAAATTAGAAAAAAATCTATTGAAATTTATATTTAATAATTTTATTGAAAAACTGTATTAATTTTAATATTAAAAATTTATTTATATCTAAACATTAATTAAAATACTAAATTAGAATCTGATGCGGTCCGTCTATTTTTTTATTTATATGTATAATATAAATTTAATTAAAATAAATTAAATTACAAAAATAAGTTAACTGATCAAAAAAATCAATTTATATATATTATTTATCAATATATAATATATATAAATATATTATTTTATTATTTATCAAAAATACTATTGTATTTACAAATTAGCTACAGATTTTTGTTTGTTTTGTTATTACTATAATATAAGTAAATTTTTATTTTAAAAAAATATTAAAACTAATAATATTTAATTTAAATATTTTGATTTATAATTATAAAAAAAACTATTAAAATTAGTTATCTTTATATTAATAAAATAATCTAAATTAAAATACTAATGGTTAGCCTGTGTGTGTTTAATTAATTTTTATTTTTAAAATTATTTAAAAAAATTAATTTATTAGTAAATTTTAACAATATTAAATAATTACTGATTAATTTTAATTAATTAACATTGTTTTAAGTTTATCAATTTAAAGTTCATGATTTTTAATTTTTAATCTATTATTTAGATATTATAATAACTATAATATTTAAACCTTATATATATTTCGATATATGTTTAGAATATAAAAATTATTTTACCTTTTAAATTGATTCCTATTAATTGAATTTTTTTGTTGATTATATATATATATAAATTATAATTTTATGTATATATATATACTATTATTTTTTTACTATTAAAAACTGTAACTTTTTTATATGAAATATTTCTATTAATTTATATACAATATTTAATTTTATAAATATAGGTGTCCATAATGTCGAAATATCTAAATGTATTTAATTTATTGGATTTAATTCATATATATATATAAATTTTTAATTAAAAATTATTGTATTGTTAATGTAAAAGACTTTTATTTAAAAATAATTTTATATACACATATTATTACTTATTTAATATTGACATTTAATTCTTTCAAATAACTAAAGTTTTTTATACTAATTATTGTTTTATAATAATATTATTATTAATAAAATA